AAGAAGCCAATGAGAAGCCATGTCAAAGTGCCCCAAGCAAAGCTGAGCCCAAGCTGACCAGAATGGAGGTGATCCACGCACTGGTCTCCGGGCAGCAAGGTCCAAAGAAAGGAATCCACCACTTGCAGTTGGATCGTGCTTACTTGCGCTGTACTGAATGTCGGAGCTACATTCTTGCCAGGACCAATGAAGACTCCTTCAACCGATTCATCGGAGAACCATGTCATTGCGGACCACTGGAACCAAGCCTCAACAATGCCCATGTCACGCACACCCTGGCCAGACAAGGCATGTCAGTTGAGTGCACGCGGTGTCATGGCAGAACGAAGATCGTCGAGGACCAGCTCGTGATGACGACGAAGCTCCGGCAGAGATGCAACAGTACAGCATCGAGAGACTTGCGACAAATGTTCGCGGCATCATGAGCACTCAGAAAAGGCGTGCAAAAAAAACATATATATTATATATATATATATACGATTACCCATGCAACGGGCACAGGCTTCCATCAATGAACCATGGAATTTGGCAGCAAGTGAGGGGAACCTTCCATGCCAGAGACCGCTTTGAACCAGGTCGCCGGCCCCAAGAACTAGAGCAGATGCCTGTAGAAGGCTGCTATGATGATATACCACGAATCCATCATAGCGACCATGCCTTTGCAAAATATATAACCCAGGGTTGAGACTTGTGTTCCATGTTCTTGTGGTTTGCCATGCCACTGGATTGAACGGGGTTGCCTTGGTAATGTGGCCGTCTAAGGCAACATCATCCATCCTTGTGGTCGGCAATACGCTCGCGTGAGCAGGAGAACTGACACAGTCGAAAGGGACTTCCTGCCGCAGTGGCAGTGACATCAAATTTTTGTCGTTTGCACGGGTCCCTATCGACACTGCTTTGTTGCGCCGCTAATATTAGGAACCGATAGTTGAACTAATGCATTTGTTTAGTGGGATTTCAGGAGGGAGTCCAGGAGCGTTTGAGAGTTTTCACACCTTGCCAGTGTTCACCTTGCCATGCTCCTGCTTTCTGTGTCTTTCCCTGTGGATGTAACATGATGTAACATACCTACCCCCTCATGGACTGGCGGCACCGAACTGGACCAGCGACCCACCGAACTTAGGAGCTCACACCACCAAGCTTTGTGAGCCTTGTTTGGGCGATGCGGGTCTCGGCCTGTTTTCAGTTGTGGAAACGAACCGAAAGAGATGGGCGTGGGAGAGGATCTGGGAGAGGATCGCCAAGGTCCAAGGTGGTTTATTGGAAAAACCGGCCCTGAAGAATCTGTGTGGGAGCCTTCAACCCCAAACTTGGAGAGTCTATCAAGATATAATCTTTCTTCCAGTCGCGGGTAGTGTTTGTGGTCCGGTGCTATATAGATTCTATAATTGTCAGTATGCTGGAAACGTGTTAGCGTTATGCATTTGCGTTCTAGTTCTGAAAAGGCAGTTCTTTTTTGAATCTATGATTGCAATGGCTTGCAGGACAGTATGCCAAGCACAGCTTCTCACAGTTGGGCTCAATTCCTGCCAGCCTGCTCAGTTTCATCCAGCTTGCACGAGCATGCATGATTTGAAATAGAGCACCTCTCCGAAAGGGTGTAAGAAGGTGTAAGAAAGATAGCGGTGGGGTTGACAACCCACCCAGTAGTTGAGTAAACGATATATATATATATATATGTATAAGAATGTACGTGTATAATTGTGGAAGAAAGCAACCCACATGTCCAATAATATATATATATATATTAAACATTATTTAACATAATATTCATAACCCATATCCTCTATAATAAGGTAACGTACCGCCTACCGTGATATGATCGTCATCACATGTCGTCACTCTAGGACTCTTAGGCCCTTGAGCCTTCGCCATTCATTCTGGGGAACCACCGTTGAGGTCAACAGTCGACCCAGCCACTATGGCATACTCTTCGTCCAAGGGAATCTCTATGAAAACCATGGTTTCCTGCAGATTTTACCTTAAACCAATTCTAGGACTTCAGGAACGCCTGGATTCACCGTGTTTTCACTGCTGACCACGGCCAGGGCCAAGTTGCAGCACCGGGAGATGCCCTTTCTCATGCGTGAGCAACCTGCCGTGTCACCAGGCCCAGGCTTAACCTCGTGCGACCTGAGGTGGATATTGGGTCCGTTCACCCCCATTGAACCCTGGATGACCCTGACCGATCGTCGCTTGCTTCTGGCGCCGCTACCGGTCGTCCGGCATGAAACTTTCAACAGACCAGGGAGATCAACCTAGCAAGGTTTGGGTCTCCGGTCTTTGGACCCATAGCCATCTGTCATGCCACCTGAATCAAGTGGGACGAACATGGGTTTTCACTGGCGGGCATGGACAAATCCACGCCAGGCTCAGCAGTTGAGTTAGGGCAGCACTGTGCTGCTTGCCGCTTAAGGAGTCCGAAGCAAGCCATTGGAGCACAATAAAAACCATGTCAATGCTGTTGGTTGTCCAGAGGCGAAGTAACGATACAGTATTTGGGCAGACTTGGCAGGAAGCAATTTTGGACAGTGACGGATTTTAGTTCCCTGTCGATTTGTCCTTTAGAAAATGGGAGGGTTGGTGGTCCTTTAGAAGGAGGTCATTCAGAAAAAACTGGAGTGGAGGTACAACCTCAGACGTTGTTCCTATTCATTTTCGATTGGCAAGGTGTCTCTCTCTCTCTCTCGCTCGAAATGGCTAGGTGCTTTTAATTGCCTGCCAGAAACAATTTTCAAGCAAAGATTGCCTTTTACTATTGGTTGTTTGATCAATAGAGGGGATACCCCAGGCCCCAAGCCTACAACCAATTAATTAGTATAGGTATACGGTATATGGCACCTGGCGCATTGTTTTCAACCGGCATTTTTGAGAGAGCTGAGGTCGGAGTTCAACGCGCAAGAGCTGTCAGACTTCAGCCCGGACCCTTGGCATCGACGCCGTTTAACACACTGGGCGGATGTGGGCACAGCTACAAGACGAAAAACGTATGTGGGCGTGGGTCAGTAGGTGTGGTGGGTCACTAACATTTTGAGCTTCTCTCCAATTTTTTGTGGATGAAGTCTGGCATCCGAAACTTACAGGTGCCAAGGGTGTAAGAAATTGTAAGAAGGCCTTCAGTCCTGCTTGTTTAGCTATTGGGTCCTACTGAAGAAGCATAGGGGCCCCATTAGTCCAATCCTCAAATCCGGGTGCTGGTACTGGTACCCATTGATTGTTCCGGCGCACACATTCATCCGAAGCAGGTTCTTAGAGCATTGTGCTGTCCAGGTTCGGTTGGTCTGGATGTTTGCTTGAGAAAGTCTTTGCTTTCTGCCAAAGAAGAATCCTGCTCCTAGTAGCGATGCCCTTTGCTCCTAGTAGCGTCCGATTGCTCCTAGTAGTAAGGCCAGGAGCCCGGTTCGTAGCCTCCGATCGCTCCGTTCCTAGCGCTGCCAGGAGCCCCGTTCATATAGCGTCCTCTAGCTGCTAAGTGTTTGGAGGTCAAAAGACTTGGTTTTGGCCCTTCCAGACGACCTTGCCGCCCTGCTCGATGTATCGTCCAGGCTGGGGCGCAGCCAAGTTACGCCTCCCAAAGGTCTGACCGCGGCGCACCGTCTCCGGCGACCGTAGAACGGCGTCCAGGACGTGGCGCTGGGCGGCATGGGCGCTACTTGTAGCATCTTGTAGCGCAGAACGGTTGGTGGATGTGAGTTGTTGTCTTGATGGGTCTTGATGCTTGCCATGTAGTGTCAACAAGCTGACCATCAGAGTTACATTCAGACTGGTCAGAGTTTCATGTCGCAATCACCCAGTGAACCGGCACGGGATAGCCAACAAACTTTTCGGGTGTCCTTTGGTTGTCAGTGGCCCCATCGATCGCGGTTCTTTGTCAGTGAACGTACCACCGTTTTGCCTCAATGCACACGTCTATTATGGCAGAGTTCCGAGTCTCAATTACAGTAATAGAGGGTGACCATCGTCATCATCACCACCACCACCATCATCATCATCATCACCATCACCATCATCATCACCATCATAATTG